CAGTAGCAACGTGTATGAACAGCTTGGTAGCTGATTACAAATTAGGTGATTGCAGTATCTTGTATTAATTCTAATGTGATATTACCAAAAAGCCATTTATATCAAATCTAGTACTAAGTTATATGTGTATAAAAATGATCAGTAATGGAGAAATGAATAGTGCATAACTAATACAACATTATATACAATTATTAAATAGAAAATTACATTCTATTTTCATATTAAGCATTAGAAAAAGTGGGCATAAAATAACCGATGTGATGTATTACAGTAGAACGGATCTACAGATTTATCTACATGAAATACCACATAATGTACTGAGTATTTACAGCGATAAATTTTATAAAGAGCTGTTGAAAACCTCTATCAAGAATGAATTTTAAAAACCACATAAGACAATACAACTTATAAACTATTCACGGAAAGCTGTCATTAGAAGGATACTATACATTTTTTCATCTAAGTAGTATTGTTTTTGAATTCATATTTAAATCACATTAAATCACGTCTCGAAATTCTTAATAGATTGTGAATTTTGATTCATAAGTACAACTGATGAATCTGTACTGTTTAGTAGGTACAACTGCATCTAAGTTCGATATTCGAATTGCTACTGCAACCATATCGGAATTTTTATGTATTTTGGATTAAAAATGCAAACTACTTAGGATAATTAACATCTGTGACTATTAGAGTTCATTCGGAGCTATTAATTCAGCTATACCGTAGAGCAAAATAATTTATCTTTAGCTGACAACAAATTTTAAAATGCTTAAGTGCATTTTTATTGGGACATTAATAATTTTGCTTAGCTATGCAAGTACTAGTCACTAAATAAATTTTAAATAAATAATGATAAAGAATGAATTGTCTAAAAAATGTAAAACTATTTTAGAAAAGCAACCGATTTTTGATCATAAAATCTGAATGCAGCAAGTATTTCTGTTGTATATTTGTGTATTATTAATCCGTTTATTTATAAAATATATATTTAAAATTATGAAAATTTTTTCATGTTATTTAACATGCGATATAATTTAATGAATAGGAAAAATATTAGAATATCTAGATATAGTTACAACAAGGAAGCTTCGAGCAATATGATATAAAATATTATCTGGAGAAAGTTATAAATTTATAATATAATCAATTGCACACTGCCAAAAAGAAAAGCACTAGTATAGTAATGACACTATAGAAAAAAATTACTGTAAATACAATTTTTTATACAATATTAATGTATGTATATATATTTATAAATGTAGACATTTATATTTATATTGAAAATGTACATAAAAATAGATATTTTATATTTTAAAGTATGTAACCAATTAAAGTATGCATGTAATCTACAGTGAATTTTTATTAATTATGTATTATTATTATCATTGTACCAATTTATATAGTTATACTTAACTGAATTACTAAAAATAAATGAAAATACATATTTTACGAAGTTTATATTTATATTATAGAACAGTCAGATACTACTAGAAACTATGGAATTAGTTTTAACATTAAGCAATTACTTATTATTATATCTTATATAAACGTCACATTTGAAGATTTTGACTCTGTTTGCAGTTAATTGTACAATGGTATCCGTTTTGTTGTCCCGTAAGTAAACGTAGATAAAATATATTTGCATCTTTGACTGTGACACAAGATTCACTTCGACACAGAATTATTTTAATTGAGAACCATTCTCGTCTTCCTTTTTATATTATTTCAAACAACCCCCATCTCTCTCTGTCTTCTTCTACTCGCTCTTCCTTAAAACACCTAATCCTAACCTACATATGTATTCGAATCGAATTGTAATTGCTTTCATTTATATATAGACTTATATATCCCTTCATGGATCACAGTAACAACTCACATTTGTAATTGAAATTCCAGTAAAATATTAACTTTAATATGTTGTTCGGACGTTTGGACGTTAACGTCCTCTACGAAACATCTTATGGTAGTGTATCTTATTAAAGAAAAAAAAAAAAAAAACAGCAACAGTTGGACCTAACTTTATGTATGTTCGTTCTTTAGCGTAGTCCTACGAAAAAAATCCAGTGGTGATAACTCCAATACCTAACTTACATCGCTAAAACGTGAAATTACACGACTGGAAAATTTTTGGCATTACAAAGCCAAAATTGAACGTGTTCTGTATCGTACTGAAGTATCGTTCTGTTGAGATCAAAATGTAATTAATACACTTGGATCACAGCACATATAATATTTTGTTAAATATACGTAAAAAAATATATTAGTATTATAAAAATCGGTATCTGTGTAATAAATTTAATATTTACAAATATTGTATAAAACTCTTTGTCTGTTCACATACTTTTGAAGTAAAAGCCAAATGTTCCTCTTTAGGAAAATCAACTTACTTAACTTTAGTATGTATTTTTTATTAATTTTAATTTTAATTATGACAAATAAAGCTTGTACTGATGTGGTAGATAAAAGCATAACTTGGATAGACAGAGATTTGGTTCAAGGCTTTTATAAACTTTTATTTGACAAAGTAAATTTATGGTGGCTAAGATTGTCGTAGTATATATACATATACTATTGTTCGCAGTCATTGTTTGCACAAATTATTGTTTTTTGGTAGACTATATCACATAGAGAAATTAACATTTCATTTATTATATTTGCTACTTCATTAGCTCAATCCAAATAATCTCACTATCCGAGACAATTTATTTAGAAATTGCTTCAGTATATAATTTTCGCACACTGACAGTAAAAAACGTTATTTATTTATTGTTCTGTTCATATTTATAACACTAATCAGCTGTTTTTTAAATAAATTTGATAAAATTTGTCTTATAAGATAGATTTTTAGTAGGAGAATAGTAACTTTTACTTGAATTTCCCTATAAGTACTAATGGGAACAATTCCTATTATTGCTATTTCAATGTGTACGTTCAGTGTTTGAAAAGAAAATGAAAATATTAAATTATTCAATTTTAGAAAAATGGCATCACTGTTTACTCTGTTTGATGAGTACTAAATAAATTTTAACACGAATGTCATTTGCGTTGGAATTTCAAAGCAAAGTGGACCTGTTTTCGCGGTGTTGATTTGAAAAACGCGTGGTAAATTGTGCTGTAAATGAGATTCTAAATTGGATATTTTTAATTAGAAGTGAAAGGAGACAATCATGATTGCAAAAGATATGGCACAAATGAAATCACTGGCGATAAAACTATTTGAGATAAATGCATTCAAATTTGGCGATTTTAAAATGAAAGTCGGTATAAATTCGCCAGTTTATTTTGATTTACGGGTCATCGTTAGTTTTCCAGAAGTAATGGTGAGTTGAAAAATGCGATCTTTAATTCTGAACAAAGAAAATAAAAATTTTGTTGAGCTTAGCAAACAGTCTCGGATTTGTTGGTATCATATATCAAAGAGCAACAGCTGACAGCGAAGCATGTGTGCGGTGTGCCGTACACAGCGCTGCCTTTGGCAACACTTGTCTCTGTTCAACAGAATACGCCAATGCTTGTGAGGCGCAAAGAAGCCAAAAACTATGGTACAAAAAAAATAATTGAAGGAATTTTTAATGCTGGAGATACGTGTCTCATTGTTGAAGATGTAGTTACATCTGGATCAAGTATTCTAGATACTGTTAACGATCTTACACGTGAGGGCATTGTCGTAACAGACGCTGTAGTTGTTGTTGATCGGGAACAAGGCGGAGCTGGTAACATTGCTAAACATTCTGTGCGTATGCACTCACTATTCACGTTATCGTTTTTACTGAACACTTTGCTTGAAGCTGGAAAAATTGAACGAGACACCGTGGATGCGGTAGCAAAATATATAGCGGCATGTCAGATCAATAGCGATGGAACTTTTGCAAACGACAAGCCACAAGTTGGTAAGAAAAAATGTGATCTTTTAATTATAGTTTATTAATATTGTTATTAATTCAATATAGTTTGAAATGCTAGTCGTTATTGTTATAGTAGTTTGTGGAAAAGTATAGAACAGGAAACATGACTAGAACTAAAAGGGTTGAGATAAGTGTGAGTGACGGTAGGGGAAAAAGAAGAATATAAAGTTTTTGAACACAGAAAAGGTTAGATTACACTTTAAATGACTATATTTAAATGACTAAATTACAAATACGAATTATATGGTATGGTAAAGATATGGTAAAGTGTAAAAGAGTAGGAAATTGTTTGGGAACAAAGTTGAATTAAGGATGCGTGGGATTTGAATTAAAGCTAACAAGGGTTAAAACGAGAGAGACCTACTCCGTTTTAACTTTAGTGGGACGAAACCAAAAATCAATTGGACCCAAATTAGTGCGTACATTAGAATATAAAAACAGATGGGCAGTTAGAACACTCATCCCCATGATATAAGGTTTCCAGCAAAGGGCCCTCACTTCATCCATGCAAGCATTTAATGTTCAAATTTGCTCATGTGCATATATATATTATTGACTATAATAAAATCAGAAAATGTCAAAAGCTCTATGTAGAAGTTTCAAAATCGGGATAAATTGCAACAATAAATATTAGAAGTGCTAAGTAATACCACTAAAAACGGTTAAAACAATTATCAAAGACGAACACAAGGAAAGTTTCGTACAACAATTCGAAACGTGTACAGCTGCTATAGAATATTGTGCCAAATATATTGAAAAGAACACATTAGCCACCATTGGTGAAAAAAAAGTAACGGTTAACAGCACCATAAGTGTTAAAGTGTTGAACTAATATCCTCAAAAATTGTGACTCAACCAAGGAACTGAACGTTATGTTTAAGAATTTCAGAGAAATGCTTCCAAACGAGTATAAATATTGATAATGTTATAAAAGATGAAAAGAAGAACGTAATTTGCATTTTGGTAATCTTTTCCATTTAATAATTTTGGTTATATTTATTTATCTTGCACATTAATAACAAAATGATTAAAGTTATTCTTTTCGTTTGTCTTGAAGACAAAAATGAGTGAAAAACCGACTTGATAATTATATATAATTAATGAACTTTTACTGTTAACTTAGCACAATATAAAAAAATATAGTTAAATATATATATATAGGTTGTCTTTTAATTTTACCAAATAATGATGACTGTTTTTGTAATTATGTTATCTCTATCATTGTATCTTCCTCGATATTTAAGAGGCCAGTCACAATGAGTTAATAAACTTAATAGAATTTTATTATTTTATTGCGCTTGAAACGGAGCTATGTAGGTATTATTGCCTAATATTTGAAGTAGATATGCGACGTTTATCATTTTATGATATCCCAGGCACCCGTATTTATTTAATATGTACAGGTAAATTAATTAAGTGGCTTATCATTACACTACATTATAGAATGCAGTTATTTAAATTAAATTAATTTTATTTTTATCTCACTGAATTAGTTTTTTATTTTTGTTGTTTTCTAATTTTTTGCAAAACATATCTGAAGTAAATTAAACGGTTATTGCTTCTGATAAAAATTATATTTTTCATGAAAAATAGATTTATCTGACCAAACATATTTAGTTTGGTTAGATATGATCATGATTCACATTCTCGTTAGATATGGCATATTTTATTATTTGTTTTTTAAATAAAATCACAATAAAATGTATGTATATATATTTAACAAATAAATAAATTTAATTGCAGTTAATGATTTTGTTCGCACAAGAATGCCTTACGAAAGTCGTGCCAACTTGGCTAAGTGTGAACTAGCAAAGCAACTCTTCCTTTTGATGTCCACCAAGAAGACAAATTTATGCCTGGCAGCCGATTTAACAAAATGTGAGGAAATTTTGGATGTTGCCGAGAAATGTGGGCCATATATATGTGTGCTTAAAACACATATAGATATAGTAGAAGATTTTAGTCAGGATTTGATAAGGCAACTTCAAAATTTGGCAAAGAAACACAATTTCTTAATAATGGAAGATCGTAAGTTTGCTGATATAGCCAATACAGTGTCACATCAATACAGAGATGGTATATATAGAATCTCTGAATGGGCTGATTTAGTAACAGCGCATTCTTTGTCTGGTAGAAGCATATTAGTTGGACTTAAAGCTGGTGTCACTACGGCGGATAGTAAAAATCGTGGTGTTTTTCTTTTGGGAGAAATGTCTGCACCAGGAAATTTGATTGATGACAAATATAAGGAAACAACAAGCAAAATTGCAACGGAAGGCAGTTTTGTTGACTTCGTGGCTGGAGTTGTTTGCCAGTCAAAAGAATGTTTTTCGTTTCCTGGCTTAATACAGTTAACACCAGGAGTTAAAATTGATGAAACAAGTGATAAATTAGGGCAACAATACAACACACCCGAGCATGTAATAAAAGATAAGGGCGGTGATATTGGTGTTGTAGGAAGGGGCATTTTACAAGCGAAATGTATTGAAACCGCTGCTGCATTGTATCGAGATCGACTTTGGGCCGCATACATAGACCGAGTTGCCAAGTAAGTCTTTACTTTCGTATAAAACGAAATATTTCTATTTCTCGTGATTTTTTTGATGCTAATATATACATTTCAAAATCAAATATGAAAAGGTTTATATTTTATATACTGTGACTAAAACAAAAAAAAAATAATAATAAAATAAAGTTACTAAATGTATTTACAAAACATATATTGCGATATATATTCTGAAATTCTGAACGTAAACTGTATTATATACATATGCTATATGTGTATTATAGCTTTTTTTTCAAGTAAATGCATTTTATTTAAAACTCTCATTGCCCTATGCGATCCGCTACACCCAAAAAAAAAAATTTTGTTTTAAATATTTTGCATTTAACCTTTCTGAAAAATAACAGTTAGATCTTAGTACTATTGTAAAAGCATATGTGGCTGCCACCTAAAGCCTCAAATAAATTCAGTATTGTATAACTATCCGATTGAAATAAATATCTATTAAAAATTCATATTAAATATAAATGCTATTTAACATTATCACAAATAAATACTGACAAAATTAAATTACAAGAGAATTATTAAATCAATGCATTCCCATGTAAATGATCTATATTTATCGCAACATAACTTAGTGCGAAATCTGGATAGGGCTTGGATACATATGCGCACTGAGCTGTTATGGTGTTTCATTGATTCTGTTTGTATCATATCATTGTATTGTTGCTGATCCTTAAATAAAGGAAAAATAAATATTCTTTTATTTTTCTCATCAGTGTCATCGAATTCTCTCAATTTCAAAATTGAATTTCGCCTCAATTGTACCCAATTTTGAATACGTCTTTTTGCTTTTTTGTTTTTGTATTTCAGTTTACCCCCACAGTTCACAAAGGATTTTTGGGAATATAGCTTAATTTTCGATATATGGTAGTTAGTTAGTAGTTTGAAAATTTTTCATGAAAACTTTCAACACAAGTACACGTCTGCTTCTTACTCATCGTTTGTGCAATCAATGTAAAGCTACATGTGCTCGTTGATGTAAGATGGCGTATGTAATTCCCTTTTTACTGTTAAGGTAAAAAGTCTACAACAAAGCAAAACGTTTACTCTTGATTTTTCGATCAGAACGATGTTATCGACATTCAGCATAGGGGAAAAACATTGCACAATATGGCAATTTTTTTTTTTAAATCATCGGCGAATCTACTTCTCCTAGAGAAGAAATCCTAGTCATTAAAACTTACTGCTTTGCTCGGTACTTATTTCTTATATTATAAATTAGTAATTGCCGGTAATTGTCGATAAGATAGTGGTGTGTGTAATTTTGGCATATAGATGGCAGAAAAATTACCATCTACGAACAATAGGCAAAGACCGTGTTATTACGACAATACGGTCTTTAACAAAATAAGTATTTCAATGTGTATGTGATTTATAGATGGCGCAAAAGTCAAGTTAAAGAGTTGGACTGAATTTGCCCCGACAGTAGAGAAAGCAGTTCATATATTTCAAATGTAGTGATTTGTCCGTGAGATGGCGCAAAAATTTACAAATATTGTCGATAAAGCAGGTATATATTCCGAATTCGCATATTTGAAATCATAAAGCATGTATGGTTCGTGACATCACTACAAGAAGAATTAATGACGGATTACAATTTCTGCTTCTTTAATTGTACATAAAATATACAAATACCTACGTCTCCTTTTAAAACATATTGTATGAAATTACAATTGCAACTCACCAACTTTATTTTCTGTTTATAAGTACAAAATGTTCGACGCGTTAGTTTTATTTTGTTTTCAAAAAAAAGAGTTATTTATAAATAAATAGAAAGAGTTTTATATTTTGTGAAAGTAAAAGGCACATAATAATAATTTATTTGAAAAACATAATATAAAGCAAATTTAATTATTATTTTTGGAGTTTTATTTTAAATTGCGAATGAATATTATTATTCGTTTTTAATTTTTCAAATGACAAGTGTTACGTTTTCTCCTGGCAATGCAGAGATCACTTTTAAAACAAAAATTTTTGAATAACTACGTTTTTTAGTACTTATCTTTTTTAATAATTTCATTCAATGGGTTTAGTTCACCTCTATCCCCTGCACACAACCTTTCATACTTTGCAACCAAGCATCGTACTCCTATTTCTTGCAGCGTCATCTAATGAACAATTTACCACTTTGCTCGCAATTGAAAAAAATACTGTTAACTTAAGGCTGTCAGTATAATTATAGGCTTTTTAACATAGGTAATGAAGCTAAATTCAGAACCCTCTATTGGTTTCTTTACGGTGTTAGAAAAATGTCGCTGCAGTCGATAAGGTAATAAAAATGCTTGTTTTCGGTCTGTGTTTATTTTGACATATAGATGTCAGTGTTAGCAGCAGTTACATTTTTTTAATAAAATTTTGTTGTGGAAGGTGTCAGTATGACGATATTTCTAACAAACTAGAGATGGCGCTCTCCGGAAAAAAAATATAATTACGTACCTTGTAAGGACAATTTTACAATTTTATTTCATGAGAAACATTATATATATATTATACATATTTGTCTGCATCTGCCGTTGCTATTTAAGCCCTATTTATTTTTTACAAATTTTCAACCCCACGATTTTGTTCTGTTTAGTAAAGGTGTTTGCAATTATGCCATACAAATTTTTTCATATAAACGATCATATATATATTTATTAAAATATATTTCTAATAGGTAAAAATGTTTTGTGTTATTTTTTCGAAATCATCTCAATTAGAAATAATGTGATTACAGAGAGAGAAAATGTAATTATATTTTAAGAGCTGTGTGTGACTATGTTTACTTTGTAATGAATGCATTTTCAATGTCAGACTTAATTATTTTAGTAAACTATCATAAACTAAAATATTTATAGTATGTATTAGTGTTTCTGATAAATCTACGCTTTCTTTATAGTGACAAAGAAGCTATATTTAAAATTTAGAGGGTTTTCGAATAGCAAATTTAATTAATTTTATTGAAATTTGGCTGACCATACAACGCTGTTTCGAGTATTGCCAAGTACTCTTCATCAGTGGTGTTAGGAATTAATCGAATTTTATATAATTAGTTTATAGTCCGTATATAATTTTGTTTGGACTGCAAGTGCCAGGCTTAGAACTTGTGCTTGTCTATATATATATATATATATATATATATATATATATATATACTATATACTACATACTATAACTATATACTATATACTATGTATATACTTATACTACTATATACTATAATACTATATACTATATACTATATACTATATACTATATACTATATACTATATACTATATACTATATACTATATACTGTATACTGTATACTATATACTATATACTATATACTATATACTATATACTATATACTATATACTATATACTATATACTATATACTATATATATAGTATAAATGTGCAATTAATTGATCAGAGTATTAGAGAGATTCAGATTTAAAGAGAAAAAAATCAGTGCGCACTTGTCTATACAATCAGATCTAAAGTGTTTTGTTGTTTCTGTATTTCTAAGACCTTATTAATCTTTGGAACTCATGTGGAAGCAGTTTAAGTGCCTTGTGAATTTCATGTATATAGTGTTGATTTTTAAGTTCCAATGTAGTCTGTCATTCGTGATACACCATGGTGCTTTTAAGTTTTGAAAATAAAAGAATCGAAGACTTGCGAAATGTTATTTCATATCAGACATATACATGCGATTTTAGATATCCTGATATTAGCACTTTTCTTGTAAGAGTTTAGAGTATAGACATAACGCATAGGCATAGGCATAGGTTGCTTATGCTCGGGATACCACAACTATAATGTTTTCCATAAAAATGAATAATCAGTTCTCCAGTAGCTTGTCATCACCTTGTTCTGCCATAATCTTAAACCTTTCTTGTACATCAGTTCCGGCTATGTTCTTTGTGTAATAAAATTGAAATTAATTATGTTGCTATTAGGTAGTAACACATAATGGATAAAATCGTTATAATCCCACGAAAGACAGAGCATTGTTCTATATATTAGGACGAAAAGATAATTGTATTACACTAAGTCAAGGTTTTCCACTTTTTCATAGATATTGTTAGTATGCTCTGCTAGTTCTCGCAAAGCCGAAAAAAAATTTATAATTCTAGGCCTCTATTTCTTTCGGAAAATAAGTCATCCTCTGCATATAATTTGATAGTATCGCATTTCGTTTTATCAGTGATGTCTACATTTTTATTATTATTATTATTATTAGTGTAATAATTAGAAAATGTTCTTCTTTGGTTAGTACTTGCAGTTTAGCATTAATTAACCTTGACTTTCTTTGTTTTGGGTCCTATGATATTTGAATGCAAAGTTTAATGCCACTAATATGTACGTTATTTTGAGGATGTTTATTTAATCCAAAAGTAGACCGGTTGATGTATGTTCCTAAGTTTAGCATGTGTGATAATTTGGATTTGACAGTTTGAACCGCTCAGTTCCATTGTACAGTTACACTGAGACGAATGAAGCTTTAATTTTTTTCACTGAAGTGGTGAATTTATCGTTTCGTATGTGAAGATTAAACTACACAGTTCTCGGATCAATTCTGATTAGTGTCAATCAGAAAAGTCAGAAAAAATTTTATAATTGCTTGCTTTGCTAGTGCATGTGGGTTTTTCTTAAAAGATATCTCGTAATAAGTCCAAACCAGTGATATTAGATTTTGTACATTGTACCTAGCAATGTACATATCAGAACCATATCTATGACAATAAAGAGCCATGACTATTATGATGGAAAGAAGAAGGATGCTGCTTATGCCAAATCAGCTAATAAGTTGCATGATGTTAAACAAGGTGTAGACAAGAAGTCCTGTTTCCAGAAATCTTAAATAGCAGATTAAAAGATATATTTGTTCTCATTGTTATATATTTCTTTTAAATCAAAAGAGAAACCAGTGAAAGCCACTTTTGGTACACTACTTCTAATGATTCTCTGCTCAATTTTTTGAGATGTTTGAATATTGTCATTTTCTTTGCAAACACTTTTTGCAGCGGAGAGCGGCCAAATTGCCCTGCTCACTCGAATCCATTATGAAGACTAGTAGAACGGAGCCCTTATTGCTTTGGCATAAAAGTGTGT